TGTGACTTTGCGCATGACCGGGATAACGACAAAAAATACTTCTGACTCACAACTATTTATCCTAAATATCATAACCCTGAAGAGGATATTGTGAATATATTCAGAAAGTACTCGTAAAAATAAAATGAATAAATGCAACTACCGTAGTTTTCTTGCTTCTTTAATCACGAAACAACAAAGCTTATACGTGATTACGAAAGAAGTTTATTAAAATAAACAAATACAGCATGTCTAAATTGTTTAATCAGACATGCTTAAATGAAAATACATTGTCAATATATATATATATATATATATATATATATATATATATATATATATATATATATATATATATATATAAGCATAATTTATATGGCAATTTAATGTATAAAAAATGTATAAAAAAGCTAAAATAAAACAACCGGTTTCGTCCCAGCATTATCAAATTTATTTCTGGTATATAAAAAAAATATAAACGTGTAAATTTGATTGATATTATTTTCCCTCCATTGATTATCATTAATGTCAATCAAATCTAGACGTTTATATATATATATATATATATATATATATATATATATATATATATATATATTGATGGATTCTCCCGTTGTATTCAACGTATGAGGTTCAACAACTCAGTTCCTAGAAACCGACAGTCAGACACGACCACATATGATTTGAGTATATTTGTGAAAGGTTTCTGCAGTACCAACCACACTTTTTGAAGGGCTGAATACAAAGGTTTTCCACAGGTTGTGAATTCAATTCCATCCAATAATATAATTAACCATACCTTGAAGGAGAAGATGATTCATACCTTTCCCAAGGGTAGTAGCATGTAAGTGAATGTAATGTTCTGTCCGAATCGCTACTCACTACTTTCCGCTGTCCATATATATATATATATATATATATATATATATATATATATATATATATATATATATATATATATGTATGTATGTATGTACACAAACACATATATGTATATGTATGTATATGGCCGTTTATGTTTTGCCGATATGTAGTTAAGCAAATCATATGCGCACATTTCTGTACAACCAGTAAATATCAGAAAAGTTAGGGGTATTCATATTTGATTCTATATGGATGTTATCGGAAACCCTGATACTGTTGCGCTCCTGCAGCTTTGACTGTCTGCTCCCTATCGCTTAGTTGTTAATCACAGTAGAAAGATCAAAAAGATAGTGCATATTTTAATTTTCTGCATTGGTAACTTCTCCAGCTTGGAACGAAATATGTGTGTTATGGAAAAAAAATGTTAATATGTTTATAGTGCGATTCGATTGACTTCATTTTTATAAATGCCACCAGTAATGGAAATATGTAGGGAGTGACAATAGAAGTGAAAAAAGGAAAATAATTCAGTGATGAATTTTAAAGCACGCGATTCTGAATGAAGATTCGTTTTCATAATTTCATTATTCTAGACACACTCTTAGAAATATAATGGTTTTGCGTTGCTTAAAAGAGATATTCAACAAATCATTCCTAACTGTTCTATTTAATATCAAATCAGAGCTTTCCTTTGACATCATTAGAGATTTAAGGTCATGTGTAGTTCAATATAATAGCTTATAATATTGAAAATCTCAAAAATATTAGCTAGAAAACAAATAATAATAATAATAATAATGAAGAAAAAGAAGTGTAGCAGTTGAGGAAAAATAAGAAAAAGAGGAAATAAATGAAATATCAAATGAATAAGGCATGTAAAAAATGAAGAACATAAAACTGAAACAAAATACTACTACTACTAATAATAATAATGATAATAATAATAATAACAATAATAATAATAATAACAACAAAGAAGTGTAGAAAATGAGGAAAAATAAGAAAAAGAGGAAATAAAATAAATGAAAGATCGAGTGAATAAGGCAATTAAAAAAGGAAGAACATAAAACTGAGACGAAATAATAATAATGATAATATTGTTATTAAAGACCACAAACAAAAACGGTGCCTCCTTATTGATATGGCAGTCCCTGAAGATATTCAAAAAGCTGTCAAAATACAAAGACCTTGAAAAAGAAATCTCGAAAATGTGGCATATTGGAACATCAACAATCCCTGTTGTAGTTGGAGCCTTAGGACTGGTTGGAAAATATTGCAATCGACTAATTGAAGGGATTCCTGGAAGTCCATGCCTCAAAGAGATACAAAAAAAATGTTCTGACATGTACAGCCCACACTTTACGAAGGGCTTTATCTAAGTATTTTTTTTTTGTCAGTGGAAAGTGTCATGACGCCATTTCTAACCTTAGGTCCCTGGGCGGGACCCGGAAAGAAACGTGTAAACGCCAGAAATCAAAGAAAAAAAAATAATAATAATAATAATAATAATAATAATAAGAAGAAGAAGAAGAAGAAGAAGAAGAAGAAGAAAATGTGACGTTAATAGAGGGGACGAAGATGAGAAAATTAAGAGAAAGATGAACGTAAAAAAGCACTACTACTCTTACTACATTTATACTAATAATAATAGAAAGAAGAAGAGGATGAGCAAGAACAAAAGGGCAGGTAAAATTATCAGGCGAAAAAGAAAAGAAGGAGAAAAAATAATAGAAGAAAGAATATCAGTTGTGATTTCGACAGTGTCTGAATTATTGCAGAATTCATTTCAAGGCAACGGTTTGATAAATCAATCCTATTCATAAACGCCTTATCTCGTTACAAATCTCTTTTCACTTCAGCTCTCTTGCACACACACACGCACATATGGACAAACACACACACATAGATATAAATATCCTTTTTTCCTAACATTGCTCCATGTCAGGTAAGAAAAAGGCTTTGCCGCTGTTAAGTTCTCTGTGCCATAAGACGATTTCCGAAATCCAACTTTAAATCTGTAAATGCATGAATACAAGCGTGGATTTGCTTTTTCTCTCTCTTCCTTTTCGACTTGATCAACAGAGCTAAAGATCAACGTTCGACTACTCTCAGTTTAACTGCCCAGTGTATACAATAATATTCAGAGTTCACTTGGGGTTATTCTAAGGCAATGCTATTTTAATTTTTAAAGGAGGCACGGTAGAGTAATGGACATCGGCTTGGATTGAGGAATCGGAGAGCCGAGTTCGATTTCCAGTCGAATCCATTTACGTGCTAATACCCTTGGGAAAGGTGTGAATCCTCTTCTTCTCCCTCCAGCTATGGGTAAATAGCAGGACAGACTGGATTGGATGGCAACTAGTCTTGGAGAAGGAAAACTCTGAATTCAAAACCTGCGGAGGGTCGTTTGGTGACCTTGTGACACATAGTGCAGCAGGTCTCTGTAATCGGCCCTTCAAAAATGGAGCGTACAACGGCCGAAACGTTGTAATAAATATGGCGACAAAGATGAGGAGAATAGTCCGAGTAATGTAAATACTGTACATAATACCTCATCTCAGAAATATAGACAGATACTAGTCTTCTTTGTTTTGTTTTTCTCATGATTGGTGTATACGGAAAAAATTCCAATAGCTAAAAAATACAATTCTTAAAAGAGTGCTCAATACAGTGTAGAGCAAATATAATCATTTATTCGAAAATTATAACAAAAAATGTTATAAAATCACTACGCAAAATAACTGTTTTGTTTCAACACTTCTGCTGTCTTCTCAAGTAATGGTGTCGAATGTAGAATAAAGGGTTTTAAAAGGTTCAAATGAATCAAACATCCCACGCAAGGGGAAACGCTCTTACATAAGCTGGAATAACCAATCAAAATACAAGTATATGAGAATTCAAAAAACTTTTCAACGAACTTAAGTTATAATAATTATTTAATGCTTTAATATTAGAGTAAATGTTAGACTAAAATAGAATTAATTCTAACTAATTAATATTAAATTATACTATAAAATTAAAAATTACCAATTTTAAATTTTATCTATTTAAGTTTAAAATTATAAAATTATTTAAAAAAGAAACTGAGGAAAAATGCATATGTTTTTTTTTATTTTTATTTTTTATTTAGTTAATTTTTATTGAAATATTGACTGATACTAGCCTTCTTTGTTTTGTTTTTCTTACGTTTCGCTGTTTTATAGGCTAGCTTAGGTCAATATATAAATTAATGTATAAAATGGGTCACGCTAGTATATATCCCCCATATGAAAAAAATGGATGTGATTTGTTTTCTTAAGCGATTATTGACAGGGGATGCTATGGATAATGCAATTCCGCGCAAGCGCATAGATTTCTGTGTACATTCGACAGTCTATGTTATTCCGATTTACACAAACGTAATCCTAACTTCTTGAGTGAAGAGTGGTTTTGTTTATGATTAAACATTTTTTCAGTACGCAGACTACAGACCGTAATTGTTTATGAATCACTTAAGCAACGTTGAGCCTACTCAGTACCTAGATAGGTGACTGCTTAATAATACGAGCTGTTGTGGGTTTCGGTATGCTGATGGTGTAAAGTACAACTGCTTTGAATTGGATATCGGAGATCTAAGTTCTGATCTAAGTCTGGTTCATTATATTCACTTACGCGCAAATAATCATGGGAAAGGTTATGACTCCACGTATTCAACCATCACCACACCTGTGAATTAATTAGTAGGGCTTCTATCGATAAAGCATTATTATCTCCAAAAATGCATGAAATCTGAGATATTTTCTGGCATTAAATAAACTGAAAAAGTTCGAATACCATAAAAAACAAATCAGTTATATAAATATACGAATTTGCTGGTGTCTATATATACGTCTCGTTGTGTGTCTGTGTTTTCGTGGGATTGCTATAGTGATTGATCGTTTTTCTACGGCTTGGCAACTTTTTTCAGTTTATTTAAAGACATAAATATGTATTTTGTGAGATTGATAATAATATTTTTTGTTACTTATTGACCCATAAGAAGGGGGAGAAGAAATGTATTAATATATTCCCCAAAGGTATCTGCACGTAAGTGGATTGGACCCAACTGGAATTAGCACTCAACTCTCCGATTATAGAATTCCGAACCATTATCCGTTGTACCACTCGCATATCGCAGGTTACAGCACTTGGTATTCCCAAGCGGTCACCCATCTAGTACTGTCCAGGTTTGTGTTGCTTAACTTCGGAGATCGTACTGGAACAGGTATTTCAACATGATGTGGCTGTCAGCCTTTTTTCTTTATGTATTTTTAAGTTTACACACATGCAGTATCCACAAAAATGTATAGACACTTCAGAATATATATATATATATATATATATCACTAAATTTAATTGAAAATCAGAAGATTAATATAAGTTACCTTTGGACTATACAATCATAAGAGATGCTTGCTTTTAGTTTACAGACATTTATTAGTACGGTGAACTATTGCTTTGGCAACGTTGACCAAAGAGTCCAGTGTGATCGCTGCACATACATTTTCAATTTAATATTTAAGGGTCTCCAATGGAGTCAGTTTTCACTGATACATAGTATCATTTAGTGTCTACCATACATAATGGTATAAAAACTATGAAAGACAAGTTTTTCATTTCCTAAAATTTTGGGGTGGCAGACTCTGTATATATGTAGTTTCAAGTGTGTATACATAGGAGCGTATAGGCACAAGTACTTATATACTGACCACGTATGTGTCTATGCAGGTACTTGTACATGAGCTTCTGCGTATGTATATATATATATATATATGTATATATATATATATATATATATATATATATATATATATATATATACAGCAATAATAATTCACCCTAACTATAAAATATCTCGCGATAAGAAGTATTTAAAAGACGAAACATTTCACCTGAATAACAAAATTATTAAAATTGTGTGTGTGTATATATATATATATATATATATATATATATATATATATATATATATATTCTGAAATGTATTAAGAACGACACTTATTTCTAGGTATTAAAAATAAAGTATAAGCAACACACATGCGCGCACACACACACACACACACACACACACACACACATATATATATATATTAAAAACGAAAAAACATGAAGATATATAATCCGGTGTTCTTATTGATATTTTTATTTTTAACAAAAAGTGCTCAATGTAAACTACATATATACAGAGCATAAATATTATAAATTAACTCATTTAAAAATACGGTTCCTTTGCCACACAGAAATTACCATGTTTCAAAAAACAAAGCTAAAAATATTTTAGCTTCTGTTTTTGAAACATGGTAATTTCTGTGTAGCGAAGTAACCATATTTTTAAAATCGGTATATATATATTTCAGAGTGTGTGTGTGTATGCCCGTGCATATTTATAAGCGTACCTTTTTGTGTTTAGATGTTTATTGGTGTTTCTATTCTCACGTATTTATACGTCGACCCTCACGTGCGATTGGGTTTAATCACTTGCCTGTAAATGAATTTTCTGTATATGTATGTGTTATTGATTTTATGCATCCGTACGCCTAATTTTGCGTATTTATATGTTGAGCTCTAAGCGTTTATGCGCATATACCTTTATACGTATGCGTATGTATGTGCGTTTATATGTGGGTATATATGGCTACTTACTCTTTATATGTGTTTACACTGTGTTCGTGTGCGCGACCGCCAAGAGACAGCTGCACAACTCTGATTGTAGAATCTTTTTTTTTTTTTTCATTTTGGAAACGATTCACTGTCTCGACATTACTTGGAAGCCGCTCTAAGTAGTATTCAATATGATTTAGCTGATTTTTCGAATAGTGTTCACATATGAAATAATATATCGAAATAATTTATTCATTTATGTGAAATGATTATTTATTTTTTTTTACTCGGTGATTTCTGCCTGCTAGTGCTGGGAAATATCAAAATTATCCAATTCTAATCCCCTCTTGAATTTCAACTCCAGGTATTAAATGCTACTCGTCCTAGGCACCATTTTGACAATATTATCAAGTTGAACATTCGCAGAAAATTCAACACACGACAAGAAATAAATGCATAACACATTATCAATTTTTCATATATAAAAAAAAATAGTGAAGCATCTTAATCACGTGGTGTAATGGTTAGCAAGCTTGTCTCGCAAAATCAGTTACAGCTGACAAGTGAGTTCGATCCTCACTAGATGCCCCATACTTTCGGCAAGGTACCACATCTATGCTATGCTTGGAAAATAACTAGAGTGTAACCCGGATATAAGAAAGTTGTCGGGACCGGAGAAAAAGTATCTTATATCCGGGTTTGGTCTAATTTATATACATTAGCACAGGCTCTAATTTGGGACCAGAGAAAATCTCTCTTATATCCGGGTTACACTGTATATGGCCAATTTCTATACTAACTTTCAAACAAAGTAAGACTAGATATCCAATCAAATTAGATGGATGCTGCTAAAAAGATAATTATGTGTATATGAATGAGCGAGGTCGTAACCGGAAGTTCATATCATGAAGATTGGGAGGAAAACTAATGATTAAACTTTGACTTGAACAGATTAAAACTAGCGTTCTGAAAAGCACCTTTGACTATAAAGTAGCTGCTGGTAGTAAATACAAAATGAAGAACTTTGTACGTACTTTTGGAACACATACTAAATCTATGTTTCTGTAGTACAACATTATTACTGAAAGATACCCATTTTCTTTTTAATCTGACTGGAAATGCTTAGTGAAACGATCCCAAGAAATAACCCTGGTCTGACTGATTTCATTATGTTCCTCATTAGAATTCGTTTGTCATTAAAAGTCATTTATATGGCAGTGAAGAAGAAGAAGAATGATGATGATGATGATGATGATGATGATGATGATGATAAGGGTGAAAAGTAAAAAAATAAACGCATGTAAGTTTTATATTTGTAGTGTATAAAGTGTGCTTTTTGTAAGGGATTTCTGTACTTAAGAAGAAATAAAACCATTTCAAATGTTGATTCTCTAAATTAGTCAAAGACTACGAATGGAAAAAGAAAAAAATCGATTGCAAATGATATGCTCTTTGACTTTGTGATATAGGCAAAAGTAGAAGAAGAAGGATAATAATAATAATAATAATAATAATAATAATAATAATATGCACTGGAAAATCTACAACCTCTACGGGAAAGAATTGAGAGAAATTGGTATGAACATCACCCAGACCCGCTTACGGAGAAAGGACATGTTACAATTTTATGGGACTACACAATACACACAGACGGAACAATCAAAGCTAATCGCCCAGACATTGTTATTAGAGACTGCAAACAAAAAAAAAGTGCCTATTTATTGATATGGTAGTCTCTGCGGACTGCAATGTATCTTTGAAGATCTTCAAAAAGCTATCAAAATACAAGGACATTGAAATCGAAATCTCAAAAATGTGGCGCATGGGAACCGCAACAATCCGTATTGTAGTTGGAGCCCTCGGATTGATGGGAAAATTCCAGTAGACTAATTGAAGGGATTTCTGGAAGCACATTCCTTAAAGGAATATAAAAAAATGTTCTCATGAGTACAGCCCACACCTTACGAAGAGCTTTATCTATGTAAAATATGTTATTTTTTTTTTGGCAGTGGAAAATGACATGCCGTTTCTAAACTTAGGTTTCTGGGCGGGACCCGGAAATAAATGTATAATAATAATAATAATAATAATAATAATAAGAAGAAGAAGAAGAAGAAGAAGAAGAAGAAGAAGAAGAAGAAGAAGAAGAAGAAGGAGGAAAAGAAGAAGAAGAATTATAATAAGAAGAAGCAAAATTGAAAATATTATACTTTTTGTGTATAATGTACTTTTTACAAGCAAGCGATTTCGTTATTTAAGAAACAAATAAAAGATATCAAATGTTGATTTCCAAGCGTAGCTCAGATGTGGCACAAGGCCGAAAGTAGGGGTCACCCAGTGAGAATCGAACTCATTACTCAGTCGAAATTGTTCTAGCGGGACAAGCTTGCTAACCATTACACCGCCTCGAGGTGCCCAATCAACTGCTGATTATCCAAATTACTGTGATTTAAGCGAACATATAATAAATGACTGTCCTGTCAGTAGAGTTTAAATTAGGTCGACTCAATCTTCTGTCCCCACAAAAAAAGGTTTTGGCCCATTCCGGATAAATGTTTCTGGTTTCAAGTATAAAGCCAGCCGATATTTACATTTTCGATCTAAAAATAAACTCAACCAAGTTTGCTTTATTTTTTAGTAAATTGTAATAAAAAGAGTGGGTGGAATGTTCCCTTACGGAACGTGTGACCTGGGTTCAAATCTCACCATAGTCGAGTTGTCACTTCTGTGTTATCAGTCTGAAGAATGTTTGTAAATCTATACAATGTGTTGTCCCAATCCTAGGGCTCCAAATTATGTAGACGGAACCGTTTGATGCCCCAGCACGAATTCCCAAGTCATTGTGAACGAGGTTTTGAACCTACTGTCGTTGTTCAAACTTTTAATCGTGCCAGACAGTGCACCTTACCCCAACAAACTGTCACTAATGTATGCTAACCATAGCTGCAATATATATGTGTAGGACAAAAACAAATATTCGTCCTGTGTATGACGATAAACTACATACGGCAGCAAGGCTTCTGATCAGGAGCATTTGAGGAGTGTGGTACCATCTCTTAATTGCTGGTGTTGTCAGGTCCACCCTGACCCGGGGTGGTAGCACCTGTTACGGTCCCAGCTATAGGCAAATAATTAACCAATCAAACTAGGGTCAAGACATGTAAAAATAGGTTTTATTTCCAGCAATAAATATTTTGATGAAAATTATTATTAGCAATACATTATTACCAGCAATACATTTCTGTAAATATTACTAGAAATACTTTTTGAAAAAAAAATATTGCCAGCAATAAACATATTTTCGGCATTAAATAACCCATTGAAGTTGAAATGCCGTAAAGCAAATCAAACCAAAACAAAATATATTCCTGGGCAGGCGTCTGTAAATGTATAAACGGGCACCATATATGTTTGTATATATTTAAATACGGACACACGCATTTGTATGTGTGAAATTAGATTTTACATTTAACACATTATGTTCACTTACATTTGGATATAGTTTATTGATTGAAGAGATGAAATTTCAAAAGTGATATTAATTATCGACATGATTCTAATAGCTTCTTCAATAATTTAAATGATTCAGGACGCAAACTTTAAAGAAGTCATTAAAATCGTACAATTATGACGTGTATAATCAATAT